AGAGAGAGAGAGAGAGAGAGAGTGTGTGTGTGTGTGTGGGTGTGGGTGTTTGTGTGTGCGCGAGAGAGGCTGTCTTTTCCTTTAAGTTTAAGGTATGTGTATGAGTGTCCTTGAATTCAAAATGAGTGAGATGGACTTTGCATTGTGTAAGCGTGTTTCTTTGTGTGTGTATGTGAGCGCGTTCGTATGTTTGTAACCCAACTGGACACAAATAAGAGGTGACCTGGGCCTGGGCACCCCCCCCCCGAAGATGCACAATTGCCCTCTTGATAAAATAATACCAAAAAACAACAACATTGGGGTCTTTTCCTCAACAAATTTAAATCCGTAACCTTCTTTTTGGTTTTGGTCTAAGTAGAAGTTTAAGGCAACTGCAACATTAGTAGGTCCCATAAGTGCCAAAGACTAAAGGTGTTAAAGAGAGTAACAAAAAGAAAAAAGGAAGGAAGGAAGATAAGGAAGATATATGTTTGATAGTTCATCATCATCACCATCATCGTCATTGCTTTTCTCCCCCTGGATCAGGGTAAAGGCCGCGAACAAACTCTTTCCCCACCTTTCACTATCATGGGTTGCCCTCTTGCGCTTGGTGATGTATGCTTGATGGATAAGAACTGAAGGAGCAAACCACACCAGAGCACCTTCCAACCACCCACCCGTATCATTCTCATTTCTTCCATCTTACTGAAACTTGTAAGAGAAATATTCCTTGTGTCAGTGCATGTCAACCTGCACGGGGTCGCCTGTGTTGTGACAGATGCTACGTAATGCCCTGGTAGTGGTGGGCGATACGAAAACTTTGGCCACAATCTTGCAAAAGTGGGCGCTGGCTCGAAAAAGGTTGACGAGCAATGGCCTGCGAGTACTAATGACTCTGTTTTATCACTATCATACCTAAAATCATCATAGCTTCAAAGATCCTTGACGTAACACCAGCATTCAATGATTAAATCTTAATCTTTAATAGTTACGTGTTCTAATAATTATGTTCACAATGCACTATCGGACACTATCAAACTCACCTTTTTCTACTAATGAGATGGCGTCAATCTCATATAAAAGGGCAAGGGACTAAATAAAATCAAGTAATGGGAATATGATCTTAACAATTACAACTGTAGCAAGCTGGGAAAAGAAAGAATCTTCTAGGGCCCTGTCCCCTTAAAATGTTTTTTAGCCAACAAAAACGACAATTAAGCTTCGTGTTTTCATGACATTTAAAGTTAAAGGTCTATCATTCACTTTCCTATACGACATCTGGCTAAACTGTGATGGGGGAGAATAGTACTACGCAGTGCCAAAACATCACAATATTATAAATAAAACAAAACAAACAACAAAAATAAAAACATTAAGAAGTAGGACAAAGAAGTAGGACAAAGAAGTAGGGCATTCCTGTGAAATGGCATCCTCCCACTGAAATGATTTTTTTTAATGCAAAAGTTTCGGGGGGGGGGGGGGGGGCACAAACGATTAGCATCAAATTGTTATTAGTCTACTAAATAAAAACTTTTAAGGGGTTCAGGGTTGTTGTTTTTGTTTTTTTTTAAGTAAGAGTTTTACACTGCTTTTAACACAAATAGGTTTAGTAAATGGCCGGAAGACTAGAGGTATTACTAGAAAGTAATATACAGAGAGAAGGAGGAGAGACAAAGATGATAGATGATGATTGATACATAAAACAAGGAGGAGAGACAGAGATGATAGATGATGATTGATACATAAAACAAGGAGGAGAGACAGAGATGATAGATGATGATTGATACATAAAACAAGGAGGAGAGACAGAGATGATAGATGATGATTGATACATAAAACAAGGAGGAGAGACAGAGATGATAGATGATGATTGATACATAAAACAAGGAGGAGAGACAGAGATGATAGATGATGATTGATACATAAAACAAGGAGGAGAGACAGAGATGATAGATGATGATTGATACATAAAACAAGGAGGAGAGACAGAGATGATGGATGATGATTGATACATAAAAGAAGGAGCAAATCACAACACAGCACCCTCCAGCTAATCCATTTAAAATAATACCCCCCCCAAAAAAAAATTTAAAAAATTAAAAAATGCAAGCACTTTGAACAACAACCACAAAAAAACCCCAACAAAACAACAATAAACAAAACAAAAATATTTAAAAACCGGCGTGGGGGGATGAAAAGTGTTCTGGCGTGACATAGTCATTGGAAACGCAGAACACTGTTTCTATAGCTAGAACCATTACAAACTAGACTGAGTGGGGAGGGGGGGGGGGTATTTGTTGGTTGTTTTTATTTTTTGTTGTTGTTTCCAATCAAAACAAAATATAAAGGGGAATGTACAGAATGGTAAAAACAGGAAGTCCAATAACAAAGCGATTCCACAAAAACGTGAGTGTCTGTTAGTGTTGGTGCGACAGCTGTTCACATTGGTAGTCACTAAAGCATGTCATGGACCAAGCAAGCTGGACATATTATCATGATAATCATCTCAACGGTAAAAGAGAAAACAGCAGCTGTGTTTGTAAGGGCACATGGGAGCGTGTCGACCCAATATTTGTCATTTGAAGTACATTTACGAGTATTGAAAAAGCAGACAACAGAGGGGTTGTGTTAGTAAGAGTAAAGAGAAGGTCATCGACACAACAACGGGCATTTAGTACAAGGAAAAGGGCAAGAGAGAAAGACAGAAATAACAGAGGGAAAGAAACGGGCATTTAGTACATGGAAAAGGGTAAGAGAGAAAGAGAGAAATAACAGAGGGAAGGAAACGGGCATTTAGTACATGGAAAAGGGCAAGAGGGAAAGACAGAAATAACAGAGGGAAAGAAACGAAGTAGGAAACATAATTATCAGTGACACCTTTGAACAACCCGTAAGCAATGGTGTGCCACTGTTCAAAGTAGTTAATATGATATTATATGGAAGGCCATTCTGTCATGTAAATAGTTTCTGCATGTCCACAGGAAAAATATAAGAGAGATGAAATAATATATTGGATATTTTTCTGTCTTCCTTTTATTAAATCAGGTTCAAAGGATGCTCCGTTAGTTCAGTCGATATCATGCTAGACTGTGGAGTGAATGACACTGGTTCGAATTCCAAACTGAGCATAGTGCCGAAGATTAGGTGTTACAAGAGAGTAACAAACACAAAAAAGAAAGAGGAGGAGAGATAAAGGCAATAAATGTTTGATAGGAAAGAAGGAGCAAACCAAACTAGAGCATCCTCCAACCGCCCACAAGTCCAGTGTTCTTGAGAATCAAAATGCAATGAAGAAGAAATGGGGCAAAAAACACAATGGGGAACCTTCGAGTCCAACTCAGTGAACCCGAGAATCGAACCCACAACCCCCTGATCACAAGGCCTGACCCGTGGTTCAGGCGTCAGGTATGTAACCGAAAGATCATGGGTACGAACCCCATAAGAGGCCCCGCGTTGAGTCTCTGGAAAAGGAGCTTTACATGAATTGTCCTCACTTCACCCAGGGGAGAGCGGGTACCCAGTTGTAGGCAGCAAAAGATCTAGTCAGTTTCGCTACCTCAAAATTACGTTTTATCTGATATTTTTCACTGTTTATTAAGACCATGAGGTTGGAAATCAAATGTTTTATCTGCTCTATCAAAATCGTAAGATTATTCAGGGTCGTTATCATGTTATTAAAATAATTGCATTTGAAAAAGGTATGCATGTTGTGAAACTCAAACTTTTTTGCGTCAAATTTCTCAAAACTGGGTACTGAGCAGATTAAACTTTGTAATTCTGGGGTAGCGACTTGTCAGTAATTGGGCGCTCAATCGGCCGATTCCATTGTACATTACACAGGAAATCGAAGATATTTCTTCTCTGAGTTTTCTAGGGTCTGCTGAGGGAAAACAATTGTAAAGCACATAGACCATGTTGTAGAGCATGGATATATATATGCCCTACATTAATGCTTGAGGTTTTGTCTGAGTACAGAGTAGCCCATCGACACAGTAATGGCCATCTGGTGCAGGGAAAAAAGAAAGACAGACAGACAGACAGACAGACAGAAACATCTGAATGAAAGTAAAGAAGTAGGACCTTACAGTGGCGCCCTCCAACCACTCACCTATTAAATGCGATTATAATTAGCAGTATTATTAAATAGACTAGCATGAGGACTTACTGTGTCTGAGTGGTCCGGCTTGGCACAATCCACATCTCTGGGGTCTGGGGAGGAGACAGAGCATCCAAACTAGGTTGTAGTTATACATTTTTAGCAAGTTGGCACGACTACAATCAAACACCACTGACCAGCTGTTCAAATTAATGTACGAACCCCAAAAATTGGAAATCTCTCTATACTGCAATTTTTTGATCTATGGCATCGGTTGCACGTGCTCAAGAAATCATTTTTAAAAAAATTCAAATTCTAAATGGTTAAAAAAAAAAAAGCATAAAGAAGACCAAATTTTAAAAAGAATGAAACAGGTTTTTGTTTCTCCTAAAAAATATTGCCTTTTGGGCTTAGTACAGCTTGCTGAAGGTATATGTGAGGCAACGTAGTGAAACCAGGCGCTCGTCAAAAAAATGATATTGAAGGAATCAGCCTTTTTTTATCGGTTCGGTAATTTCTATCGAATTCGTGGATTTTGGCTCAACGCTTATACGCCCACTAAAAAAATTAATTAGCGCCTGATTCCATCGCGCCATGACATATGTCTCATGCTCATCAATTTGTGGGTAAATGGAGTTATTGATATCATCTTGAAGCTTGCTCATTTGTCTTGCTCTAAATTTTTAAAAAAATACCCATTAATTGTGAATAGAAGTCAAGATATCTGTGATTGAAGGAGGTAGGGGTAGCCTGGTTTGAGTGGTAAAATTAGTATGAAAAGTGCCCCCAAAGATTGGTGACTTCCGAAGATTGAGAGCATTTGAAAACTGGAAACTTACATTTCTTTCAGTGCCTTTTATCAATGTTTTCCAGAAAAATCAAAACTGAAATGTGTTTTACTGGGACATAAAAGGTGTTAGGCTAAAAAAAAAAATTTCAATAGAAATTCAAAAAGGGTAGAAAAATGACACTTTCTTCGATTTCATTATGTGTAATTTGACAGCACTTAATTCACTACGCTGCCTAACATATTTCATCAAAGGAGAACACAGCATTCACTCCTTCTCTCAGTCACTTTCTACGCTTCTGAACATTGTTTCTTCGGCTAACAGGAACCTACTTAGTGTATATGTTTAGTTTTGACAACTGATTTACCTCTATGTTCAGCAAAGTATAACATATGGGAGGCATTATAGTGAAATCAGGCGCTCGTCAAAATAACGAAATTGTAGAAAATGGAATTGTCCTGCCCGTTAATTTTTTAAAATATTTTTATTATTGGGGGTGGGCTCAACACTTTTTATGCTACTGAAAAATGTTGATCAAAGACGAAAAAATGTAAATTTTGCAGGTTCCAGGGTATCCCAAGCTTTGGATGTCAACAAATTTGGGTGGCCATTATTTCACTAATTTTACCTCCGCTACCAAACATTCCTACCTCCCTTAAATGAAAATAACTCGACTTCCATTCAAGATAGATGGGTGGGGGATTTTTCATCTTAAGCAAGACAAATGTACAAGCTTTAAGATAATGTAAATGACTCCATATGCCCAAAACTTGATGAGCCCCCCGCATCCACTGTCATAATACATATTATTACATTTCAAAAGAACGGAAATATAAAAGAGAATTAGTTTTAGGATTTACAAAGCTTGCAACTGCATAGGTCACAAAAGCGTGCAAAAGAGGAATTTTTAAAAAAAAGAAGAATTTAGAATCAAAACATGGATATTATTTAAGGGAAAATCTGGACTAGCATTACGTACTTTTAGATTAGACACATACAGCATAGCCGATAATAAGGCTCATGAAAAAGGACGAGGCGAATGCAGAACCGATCAGACAACTTGTCGTAGTGAATGAGTAAAATCCCCAAGTGGTCGTTTCCCCACCCACTTACTTGGCACCATGAAAAAGAAGACTAGGATCCCGATGAAGCTGATAATGATGCCAGGCACTACAAAGGACCAGCCCCAAGCTATGTCCACAAAGGCGCCCGCAATCACAGATCCCAGGATATTTCCCACGCTCGTGTGTGCGTTCCAGATGCCCATGATCAGACCACGCCTGTTGGAGAGAGAGAGAGGGGGGTTTTAAGGTTTAGTAAGCGTTTTACTGCACTTGCAACACAATTAGGTCATATAAGTATTGAAAAACAAAAGAGGTTATTTTAGTAAAAGTTGGAACACAATAAGGTCATATAAGTGCCGAAAAACGAGAAAGTTTATTTTAGTACGAGTTTTATGGCACTTGCAACACAATAAGTTCATCTAAATGCCAAAGATTAGAGGCATTACAAAAGAGTATATTTAAGTACAGATTTTATCGCACTTGCAACACAATAAGGTCATATAAATGCCAAAGACTAGGGGTGATACAAGAGAGTAACAAACACAAAAAAGGAGGAGGAGAGAAAAGAACGATACATGTTTGATAGGAAAGAAGGGGCAAACCACATCAGAGCACTCGCAAACCACATCAGAGCACTCGCGGAGAAAGTATTTTTAACAACAATTCCCCAACATTTCAAAATTCAAATAACTTTAACTTTTCATTCATAGATTTAACCGTATGTGATCCAGATCTAATTCCAAACTTTCAGTGGTCGGTCCAGGATGACCCACACGGATCGGACCACTTCCCCATCAACCTAATTCCAGACATTCCACACCGAACTCCTATCCCAGACCGTTTCAATCTTAAAAGAGCGGACTGGGATGGGTTTCACATGGAATGTCTCCAGAAACTCAATACATCTCAAAACACAAACTTTTGATCGATTTCATGAAACCCTTCTTGAAATCGTTCAAAAACACATACCTAAATTATCCACCAAACCCCGAAAAAATAAATGTTGGTTCACTGAAGACTGCCAAAAAGCTGTTACGGTAAAAAAAATCAGCTCTCAGGAAGTTCGTCAACTCTAAAGAGGGTTAGCCTGTAAGAGTTTTGTTTATTTGAGTAAAGAGAAGCACATCGATGCAATAACAGTCATTTAGTGCATGTCCAGAGCAAAAAACACAGACAGAAACAATAGAGGGAAAGAAAAGAAGTAGGACCTACAAGCGGTACCCTCCAACGATACGGTTTTGTGTTCCAGCTGATCAGAGGAGGTTAATGTTGTGCGCCTGAGTAATGCTGAAGTTGCACACTCGGGCTAGCTCACTTTATCAAAACCCAATCAGAGACACAGGACACAATAACAACAGATTGCATGCATAACAACGAATAAAATTACATCACGCAGGAGTGGTTTTAGTGTAGTGTCAGCTTATGTGATATGGATACAGTCACAGTGAAATAAGAGGCTGAGCTGAGAATAAATAATTACACATGCTTTTTATATGCAGACTGGTACTTCATTGAAACATTTTTAAAATAGCTGAAAAACACCAGAAAAGGTGTTTACAATTTGGCCAGTCGAAGTGGTGGAGACTAAATATCCTCTTGAATTCCTGAAAGCCGGATCTGGGACAGTCCCTGGACATCCATGACAAATTCATACTTTAGAAGTTTTGTATTTGAGTAGGGTTAAAACAGTATACATGTACTTAAGTATGGTTAAAGTTGTATGCTTGAAAAGTTTTGTATTTGGTTGCGGTTAAAGTTGTATACTTGGAAAGTTTTAAAGTTCCGTATTAGAAATTTTTTTTATTTGAGCACAGTTAAAGTTGCGTTTTTTAGCAGGGTTAAGGTGAACCTGTTGAAGAAAACCACCTATTGTTGAGGAGAAAAGAGATCTCCCTAGAGAGGCGGTCTTCTTGGTCACTTCCATTATAATACAGAAACAAAGTAAAGGTGGGGGGGGGGGGGGGCTTGGCTTTATTGTAGGTGATTGTTTTGGTTAGTTAAGGCAGGTCTGACTACACTTAAGAAGTTTGAATTTGTGTAGGGTTAAAGATGTATACTTCGTTTTTGTTTTTGTAAAATGTTTTACTGCGTTCGCAACTGCATAAGGTCATATAAGCGCGCGGGACACACCTAATATTTTCAGTTGGTAGGAAATTTTGAATTTTGCCCCGGTGGCGGCCGGAGCCTACTCTTAAAAGACGTATACTTCATTAGGGATTAAGTTTCACAACTGCATATGGTTACACTTGTGCACTTGAAAATGGTGTATGCTTTGTATTTGAGCATTCCCTCTAGAAAACAGCAAGCAAGTGGCAGACTTAAAGAATGTTATCAAAATCATAAACCTTTACTTAATTAAATCTACAAGGACAGCTGAAGCAAAAAGATCTTGTTCGTTTTTGTAAGTTTTTTCACGACACTCGCAACTGCATAAGGTCATGATCATATAAGTACGCCAGACACATTAAACATTTTCAGTTTGGCAAGAATTATTTTTAAATTTTTGCCCTGAGCGGTGGCCGAAGCATACTCTTATCTATTTTTGGACCACCAAGAGATTTTAGCGTACAATACACGAGACCTCCATGATTTTTCACCCTTATCCGAGAGGGTTAGGTGTTAGATCTTAACTACCCAAAGATCAAGGGTGTCGCTGAAAGACAGCAGTAAGAACGAGCCAAGGAGTAGCAGTAGAAAGGCTGCAGAAAGAGTCAGGAGCCCAGAGGAAGGGCAAAGGTGGGGGGGGGGGGGGGCAGAGGCAGACAGTGGAGGGGTGCTCTCATGGCCTAGAGGTTAAGGCGTTCGCCTCTCATTCAAAGGTCCTGGGTTTAAACCCGGGAAGTGACCAAAAAAAATGTTTTTCTCTAAAATTGTCTACTTTCACCTCCTTTAATGCTCTCTAGCAATGTTCTGTCGTCTGCTTTCGTCTCCACTTTCTGCCCTCACCCCCTCACCTCCTTTACTCTCCTTCCTCAGGGCTCCTGACTCTGTTTAGAGCCTTTCTACTGCTACTCCTTGAATCCTTCTTACTGCTGTCTTTCAGTCACACCCCAGATCTTCTGGTAGGAAAGATCTACACCTAGCCTTCTCGGACAAAGGCGAAAAATCTCGGAGGACCCGTGTGCAAGTTGCACACATTAAAGATCCCTTGGTGGTCTAAAATCAATAAGAGTAGGCTTCGGCCGCCACCCAGGCAAAATAAAATTTTTTCTACCAAATGAAAAATGTTTATTGTGTCCCGCGCGCTCATATGACCTTATGCAGTTGCGAGCACTGAAAAACACTTACCAAAATAAAAAAAATATTAAAAAGAAAAGAAAGTGGAGACTTAAGCTGAAGACAGACCATTGTTAGAGAGCAAGAAAGATACATTTTTAAAGAAGAAAATATTCTGTCGTTGTCAGATTTCGAACCTAGGACCAATTGAATGAGAGGTAAACACCATAACCCCTAAACCAGAGAGCCCCCAAAAAGATCTTGTCAGCATATTTATGTTTTAGAGCTTGTAAAACAGCAGATGCTTCCCAGGAAGTTACAATTGTTTCAGAACGTCATCAGGCCTGCTGGGGGAATACCATAGATTGTACAGCTCATAAAACTTGCTGGTGAGCAGCAGTGTGCATCATACAAAATAAAAAGTTATTTATTACGCACCAGTAAAACACTGTATTGTATATGACATGATGATATGCGTAAAAATGTTGAAATGACTCGTCACTGTTGAGTCATTTTACTGCTTGTATTAATAAATATGGGTCTGCTACATTAAATTCCTTTATAAAATTCCACCATTATCATTTCTGCTATTGTTGTCAAGGCAGGAGGAAATCCTCCAACAGAAATAAATTACCAGCAGCGGTAGTTCATGGTGAGATTAGTCACACATTACCTGCAAAACATGCACATTTTGCTGGTTGCTATTTAGGATAATCACAATACCTGGGGCACAATGCCAAAAAGCGGGTGGTTGGCAGGTGCTCTAAATGTGGTTTGCTTCTTGTTCTTATCAACACCTTTTTTATAACACCACTAATCTTCGGCACTTATAAGACATTGTGTTGCAGGTGCTGTAAAACTTGGTACTAAAACTAAAAGGAATAGTATGGAAGCAGTGCTTAGTGGAGACAAGGAGATGAACAACAATGAAAGTTGATTCTGGTTCTACTTCTACATATGATTAATTAGGTCAAGGTTTTACGGCGCTTGCAACTGCAACCGGTGTCTGTGGTGTAGCGGTTTGCTGGGCAGGCACTTCGCTGTTACATGCAGGAGACCCGAGCTCCATTCCCGAACGGGGAGGAAAATTTTTATCAAGTACCTCAGTTTTTCTGCTGGGATTTTGTATCCCTCCCAGTTTGGGTTGGCCCTGACAGGCAGGGTCAGAAGCGGGCATTCTAACTTATCTGAACTATTTTGATGGGGGCGTAAACACATACTTTTTTTCTTAATAATTTTTTTACAACGGCATATGGTCATATAAGGGTGTGGGGCACAAGTTGGTTGTACTCCTATTCGCTCACAGCACGGCCTGTTGTTGGTGTTTTGGTTTGGTTTGTAAATTCTACTTCTTTTCACAGTAATACCCAGTGCCCATAACAGAAAGTGTCGTCAAATCTCCACTTGATAAAGGATGGCGCTAGGCAGTGTACACTATATCAAATGGTCGCTTTTAAGCACAATGGGTCTATCCCGAAAAATGCTGTTTTGAGAAAATCGAAGTTAAGTCTTTGCACCTTGTACAGTTTCTTTAATTTAAAAGTCAAGGAGAGTTTTCTCTATAACCAAACAAAAGCACACCAATTAAACCAAACTTCTTCTATAGCTAAGGCAATGCCCATTTTTGGCGTAGGTCAAGATTTCTGGAAACCCTCAAAATCTGGGTTAGCCTGCTTGTCCTCAAAAGCGACCAAATTTACCCCTGCCTTGCTTCATCAAATTCTTCTTTTTCTCCTTCTTCTTCTGCCTTCTTTTTCTTCCTCTTCTTCTTCTCCACATTTATCTGTAAATAGACATCCCATTCGCTTGTGTGAAAGTTGCCATTCACTACAAGTCCTCCAGGCCCCCATTGAAATGTGAGTCTCTGGCCAAAGATCATATCCCACCATGCATATAAACCTTCTGATTCAATGTTTTCATCAAACTTATCAAATTCTGACCAAAAAATAAAACATTTTTGTTTCAGAGAATTAGTTTATCAAACTGTGTCTAAATGGTAATCTTTTCCAAAAACCACCCTCAAATGAATCAAGTAAAGCTCATCAAAAAAGGATTTGACAAAACTTTTTGGCATTTATTTTAGGTGCATGTATTAGTAAGATTTGTACAGCACTTGCGACACAATTAAGTCATATAAGAGCTGAAGTTTAGAGGTATTACAAGAGAGTAACAAACACAAAAAAAGGAGGAGAGATAAGGACAACAAACATTTGTTAAGGAAAAGAAGGAGCAAATCACACCAGAGCACATGCCAACAACCCTACTAGTCTTTTTAAAAGAAGCAAAAATGCTTAATCAGTCTCATAGGATGGTCTTGAGATGAAAAAATTAATGACTCCAGCACTTCAGGAGTCCCAAAGGTACATAAGAAAAGAAAGATGAGAGTGATCATCAACATCATTGCCTTTCTCCCCCTGGGTCAGGAAATAAGCCACGAACAAACACATTCCACTTTTCCTTATCTTGGGCTAGCCTCTTGATGTTATTCCATGTCTTCCCACTTTTCTGTACAGGATAAGAGTGATCGTACAGAAAGAATCTGGGTACTTGCTACATGACTGGGCACTTCCTACATACCTGGGTACCCACCACATAGCCGGGAGTACTTACTATTGACCTGGGTACTCACCATAGAGTCGGGTATTTACTGCATATTTGGGTAATTATTACACAGCCTGGTACTTATTACATAGCTAGGTACTCCCCACATACTATTCCTGGGTACTAGCTGCAAAGCTAGGTACTCACTACATAGCCGGGTACTCTACTTATCTGGGTACTCCCTACATACTATTGCTGGGTATTAACTGCACAGCTGGTTGCTTACTAAATATTCAGGTACTATCTACATAGTCGGATACTCACTACCTACAGCAGTTGGGTACTCACTAGACAGCCAGGTACTCACTACCTGCAACAGTTGGGTACACACTAGATAGCCAGGTACTCACTACCTATTACAGCTGGGTAATCACTGGATAGCCCGGTACTCACTAGATAACTTTGTACTCACAGATAGCCCGGTACTCACTAGATTGCCACATACCCACTACCTACAACAGCTGGGTACTCACTAGATAGGCGGGTACTTACTTGCCCTTTCCGAACCAGTTCCCCACACAAGCCACAACACTGGGCCATCCTGTGGCCTGGAATGCACCGCCAACCACCTGTAGAGAAACAAAAAAATACACTTATTATGGCATTGGTGGTCTCATGATAAGACTGTCTGGCTCGCACCCAAAAGGTCGTGGGTTTGAACCCTATCAAGTGCCTGATACTGTGTCCCTGGGAAAAGCACTTTACACAAATTTTCCTCACTTCATCCAGGAGGGAAAGGGTACCTCACTGTAGACAGTGAAAGATTTTTTGGGGTCAGTTTTTAAGTGTCTGAGCGCTTAAACAGCCACTTGCACACTGTATGTATGCTTCCCTGGAAGCCTAGAATGGTTGTAAGTCTAAACGTCCCTATGTCTACTTGGGTAACAATATAGATCGTAACTCTTAGACTAACAATCATTCCGGGCTTCCGGGGAAGCATACGTACAGTGCAAGAGGCTGTTTAAGTGTTGATTGGGGATGTATGCAGTACAAGTGCTATTTATTACTATTACTATTATCATTATTATAATTATTACCATTATTATTATCATTGCGATTATTGTATTTTTATTATTACTATTACTATTATCATTATTATAATTATTACCATTATTATTATCATTGCGATTATTGTATTTTTATTATTACTATTACTATTGTTCTTGTTAGTATTATGATAGAATTATATATTAATTAATAAAACCCTACCACACTGAAAATGCTTATTGTGTCCCATGCGTTCATATGACCTTATGCAGTTGCGAGCACCGTAAAACATGTGCCTAAAAATTTTTTTATTATCATCATCATTATTACTCGGAATTGTGGTGCCCAGTTACAAATACTTCGAACTTTCTTGTCGTAGTCAAACCCAGCTAAAGAGATATAAAGTCCCAGCAGGAAAAAAAAAGATATACTCCATAAATATTTCCCTCACACTGGATTTGACCTCTAGTCATCTGGGTACTGTGCAAAATGCCTGCTTTGTTGTTTGTTTTGGTAAGTGTATTGCAGTGTTCGCAACTGCATTAGGTCATACGAGCATGCGGGACACACCAAACATTTTCAGTTGGAAGGGAATTTTGAATTTTGCCCGGGTAACTACCGAAGCATACGCTTAGCGATTTTGGACCACCAGGGGATCTTTAATGTGCCCAACTTTTTTTTTTTTTTTTTTTTTTTTTGGTCCCTTGCCCATGTCTATGATATTGACGCCATCTGATTAGTAGAAAAATGTGCGTATGAGAGTGCCCAATAATGTATAACGTACAAATTTGTTATGACATATAACTGTTACATATAGATGTTTAAGATAATTATAGATGTTTGTGAAGGATCTGAGAGCAATGATGACCTTAGAAATGACGGTGATGGTGGTGGTAAGTGATGATGTGGGATGGTGCTTACGTTTATAATTATAAGAAAACATGCTTCTGTTATTTGATTGTTGTTGTTTAAAAAAAAAAAAAAATGTTAGCGTTAGTCCTATCTTCCTCTGCTCTGATGAGTCACGAGGGATGTGGTAATGTGCCCAACTTACACACGAGACCTCCGAGATTTTTCGACCTTGTCCGAGCCCCCCGCACCAAAGACAGGCAGTAAACACCAAAGCGGAAACTTACAACAACAAAATGGACTAAAACAAGACAAGACAAGAAGTGTATCTGTATGCCTTGGTGACCCCAATAGTCGTCATTTATTTCTAAAGCTCAAACTTTTGGGCCAGAACATCTAATATTTTTTAAAATTACCTCTTTGCTTTTGTCAACTATTCACTTTTAAATTTACTCACACAAATGGTAAGAGGACACCACTGGTAGGTCCTACTTCTTTACTTTCTCTCTGTTGGTTCTGTCTGTCTGTTTTACTTCGTTCCAAGCGCTATGATCATTATTGTGTCGATGTACCTCACTTTACTCAAACAAAACCAAACATTAACTCACATTTTACAAACTATTGAACCAACAATGACGTACTGACCTGTACACAGGCGTAGAAGATAAAGCTGTGAATGTTGAAGAAGTAGCCGAAGCCAAAGGCCATGGTGAAAATACCACTGCCGATCATACCGATGGAGAGGTAGTGTCGTAGGTTCATCCTGTCGGCTAGATGACCGCTGAGGATGAAAGATTTTTAAAGATCACATTTTTGAGAGAAATGGGGGGGGGGAGGGGGGGAGAATAGAACCATTTTTCCCATTCACACTATTTCTTTGTAAAAGTGTCAACCAATTTTTCAAGCTTTCTTCTACATTAATAACTTTTGTTTTTCACTTGTGTAGATTAGGCATAACACAAAAGTGTAACAAATACAAAAAAGAAGAAGGGGAGATAAGGATGATAGAAGTTTCATAGGAAAAAAGGAGCAAACCACACCAGAACACCTGCCAACCACCAGCAGTAAGCATTAAACAGAACTTGCAACACAATACGGCCATATAAGTGCCATCAAAGATTAGAAGTTTTATCTCCTTTAGTAGAGGTTTTACGGCGCTCACAACTGCATGAGGTCATATATGAGATTAGAAGTGTTACAAGAGAGTAACAAACACAAGAAAATAAGGCGGAGAGATAATGATGACAAAAGAGTAATTGGAAAGAAGAAGCAGACCATACCAAAGCACCCGCCAACCACCCACCTCCCCCCGAAACACCTACCTGAGAAACATAGCCACAGCATATGCAATGAGGTAACACAGGTCCAATGTACCAAGAAGGGAGCTTGCATCGCTTTTGTCTGGGGGGAGAATTCACAAAAATTATTGTCAATGACAAAATATTGCATGAACATAAGAAATAATAATTATAATAATAATAATAATCATAAAGAGAATGGTAAAAACAATAATCATAATAATAAAGATAATAATGACGATACTAACGATATATTTATAAAATATTTTATCTTAAATCACGAAACAATAAAAAATTTAAAAACATGATAGGTGCATTTCTACTTCATTAGATTATTCTTAAGGAGTTATAATACATTATATCATTATACTCTAGCTACACAGCTTTACATGATACACCATTGAACCTGCCCAAAGTGATCACCTACAGTTGAGGAGAAAAGTGGTAATCTTAAATATTTGACAGCTGATAGTTAAGCCATGTTAAGCCACTGACAAAATAATAAGGACTGAGTTTCATGCAGTATTAGTAAAAAGTTTTACTGCACTTGCAACACAAACAGGTCATTTAAGAGCCAAAGATTACACGTGTTACTAACGAGTAACTAACATACAATGGAAAAGAAGAAAGAGAGATTGGGACGAAGGACTTTTTAGTTTTATTTAGTTTTATGGCACCCGAAAAACACAATCCGGTCATATAAAGGCTGAAAATTTGAGGTGCTAAAAGTAACTAAAAAAACAAAAAACAAAAGAGAGAGAGAGAGAAAAGGACAATAGATGCTTGGTAGGAAAGAAGGAGTAAAAGACACCAGAGCACCTTTAAAAAGAGAAGCAAGGAAGACCACAACATCAAAGTCAGAGAACTCACCAAACGGGGGCCAGTCACACCAGTAAGGGTCTGAGGTGTTGGTCGAGTTGCCATGGGCAACGTCTGAGCAGTTCTTGTGATACAAAACGCTCTGTGGACACACATGAGATTGTTGGGTTTTTTTGGGTAGTTTTAGTACAAGTTTTATTGTACTTGCAACACAAACAGGGCATAATAATATACGTGCCAACAATTAGGATATATGTGCCAACAATTAGGGTCTTTTTTTTTTTTTAAATAGTGGACGATTAGGGTCTTACTACTTGAAAGTCACATAAGAAGAAATGAAAGCAAGAAAAGAATGACAGATGTTAAATAGGAAGGAGCAGATCACACTAGTGCAACAAAAAAAAAGGGGGTGGGGGTGTTCAGTGAGAAAGTGTTCATTTGTACAGGTGATTGTCATGAACATGTGACAGTTAGAGCAGATTTGACTATATTCCCTTGGGGATGAAATTCAAAATGGTCCAACCTGTAGTAAAAGCAACTGCAATAAAAGTTTGTCTTTTAAAAGTAGGTGTTTTAGACCGTTTACGAAGTGGGCTTCAACCCCACCTGTCAGGGATCCCATCTGTCAGGGACAATCCAGGCTGAGACAGAAACAAAGTCCCAGAAGAGAAACCAAGATAGTCAATAGAGAGTCTGCTCCAACGGAAATAGAACTCAGGTCTTCTGCAAAAGCGAAGTGGTTTAACTCAAGACCACGAACACCACTAAAAAAACAACAGTTATATCTTCTACAGCACCCCGCTCCCTTCTTACCACCTTCTCTGGTGAGGAAAGTCAACTTTCTTATATAAGAGGTGCCCATTGGCACGACCAGGTCGGGTCGGGTCGGGTCGTTTGCTAGCCAGATTGAGAACGCAAAGCAGCTATCGCAGCACCAACCGATCGCCCAACTCGTCGGCTCAAAAACAAAGTACCCGATCCCATCCGCAATGGGCACCCGGTATTACAATCTACTCTAATTTTAATTAGGCAAGTAACCCTTCTTACGACCTACTCTAGCAAGGCCAGTAAGTGTATGGGTTTAAAACCCGTATCAACACAATTAGGCTATTTGAGAGGCCTCCAACTTTTACCAACTGTCTCCAATAGGACCGAACCAAACGGATTGAGAGCCTTTAAAAAATTCACAAAGCAACCCGAGTTCAAATACACCCAGTGTGGGATTCGATACAGGGTCATCCGTTACGTAGTCCAGCATGATACCAATTGAGAGGACGTAGGTCCCCTTGACCTACTTTTGACTCGTTGTAATTCTTGTCTCCCCCCTGAATGGCACAAGGCCAAGTACCAGTAGACCAGTAAGCCGACCGCTCGTTCTGAGCCGTGTGTTATCCACAGCTTAGCGACAAATTACCACCGATTTCTGCTTCCAAGCCTGGGACACAAGAGACATAAAAACACTGAGGTTCGCGGTACAAAAAGTAGCAGTTGCAATAGTAGCAGCAGTAGTGATGGTAGTAAATATAGTAGTAGTAGTAGTAGTAGTAGTAGTAGTAGTAGTAGTAGTAGTAGTAGTAGTAGTAGTAGTAGTAGTGATGGTGGTGGCGGTGGTAGTGGTGGTGGAGGTAGTGGTAGTAGCAGCAGCAGCAGCAGCAGCAGTAGTAGTAACAGCAGTAGGAAGAAGAGAAGGGAGAGGAGGATGATGATATGGAATAGGAATCGAAGTAGGAGCAGCAAGACCAAGAGGTCACTCACCTTGACAACGCTGATTGGCTTCCGGGAGAGATGGTAGCTGGTGTAGCAGAAGAACGTGAAGACGAGGACAAAGGTCCGGTAACTGAAACAACATGAGGACACAGTTCACAGGTCAGACGAATACTATTTATAATTAAAATACATTGTACCAAGGCTTCTCTACTACGATCTTTGACTGTACTCTTTTTAGTGGGTCATTCGAGGTAGTGAGTCATAGACACGAGCCGTACAGTGAGATTGCGATCACCCAAATAAAATTTTCTGTTCCCGTTTTAGTTTTCGTAAGGGTTTAACAGCACTTGGAAAACATAATTACGTCCTTTAAAAAGCGGAGGGTCAGAGGTGCTCTAGAGTGTAACATACAAAGAAAAGGAGATATCATACCAAGAAAAGGAGAGATAAGGACGATAGATGTTTGATAAGGAAGATAAGGAAGAAGGAGCAAACCAGATCAGAGCACCAACCAACCACCCACTTTTTTCTAGGTCGCTCGAGGCAGTGATTCATAGACATCTGTCGTACCGACAGCGTATTTCTTTGATCGTCGAAATCAATTTCTGTTTAAGCTTTAGTTTTAATAAGAGTTTTACGACACTTGCAACATAAGTAGGTCATATGAAAGCCCAAGATGAGAGCTGCTACAAGCGAGTAACATACCAAGAAAGGGAGAGATAAGGACAGGAAAGAAGAATCAAACCACAACAGAGCACCCAACGACCACCCACTCTCTTTTCTGGGTCATTCAAGGTAGTAGATCATGGTCACATGCCATACCTAAGAAAAAGGTGATTCCATGACATGATAGGTCAAATCAATTTCAGTTCAACTTTCATAAAGCTTTTAACTTTTCCCCCCCTTGCCCAATTCTATAAAAATGACACCATCTGCTCTGATTAGCATTTATAACGTTAAGCAGGTGATGTGGTAGCTATAGTCAACACAAAGTTATGCTTAGGTTAGTTTTGTAGACGGTAGACTGACAATTGTTACTTTTTCTTGTTACAATTCATCATCTCCCAACAGGCTCCAAAACTCTTATGTTAAGGGTATGTTCAGAGTTCAGGATAGTTATCAGAACCTTATTATTACGAACAACACAATATCATATACTTCCAACTAACAGTAGGGACAGTTGCATGCGTGTTGACGATGATGGGGTAGTTGATGATGATGATGATGATGATGACGACGATGATGATGATGATGATGATGATGATGATGATGATGATGATGATGACGATGACGATGACGATGATGATGATGATGATGATGATTTATTCGTATAAATACATACATCAAGAGTCAAAATGCATCGTATTTTCGTTTTCTTTCTTTCTTTATTTCCGCCCTACTTTTTCATGGAAAAATAACTAATTATTATCCGGGTTGACCCTGACAGGCACGGTAGGAAGCCCACATCCAAGGTGATCTTAAATTATCGATATCATGTTTATGGGGGACTAAAAATACGTACTTTAAAAAAACAACAACAAAAAAACAACTAAAGTTTAGAATAAGAGGGGCAGTTCACAACCATTCAAGACGATTATGGTCACGAGTTTTCAAGAACAATCAAGGAGCTAGGTAGTTGATGAGACCAGCGTATAATTAATACCCACTGACTATGATGCCGAACATGCAGGTGTGTGTGTGTGTGTGTGTGTGTGTGTGTGTGTGTGTGTGTGTGTGTGTGTGTGTGTGTGAGTGTT